GACAAAAGTAAAGAAATCACCTGGGAGACAAATGAATAGAAATGCTGTATGGCCAGCGGAAAAGGGCGGACACCAGCAGTGACAGAGAGGGCGGACACATCTGAAGAAAGAATTGAGAACCCCTAACAGTACACTGTTTGGAGAAAAAAAAACATGAGGTCAGGTCACCTGTGAAGCGGAGGGAGCTAGCGTGGGCTGTCCATCTCGATGATAAATATGGATAGAAAGCTGACAGCCTCACAACATCCCTAAAAGATCAGAGTTTGGATTCAGATGCAAAAGGAAGAAAGACTCATTAGACATCGTCAGAACTTTACTCTGACTTGCGTTTTCATGGAAGTGGAAAATGGATGAACATGGTGGTTTTGGATTAACGACATTCCTTTACAAACTATATAGGGTTTTTCTTCCACTTCCATGTCAGTGACTTCTCATTCCAATCATCCGTTTCCATCCGTTTCCCCTTTTCTGCTCCGACCCAGAAGGTCTGCTTCGAGGGGCAATGAAGAGCGTCATCGCGGAAAATGCCACGGCCTGGGTACTTCGGATTCAGAGGTCCAAAACAAATACCAAGCAGCAAAGCCAATACCAATGTGGTTTCGTGGAGAATCCCTCTTTAGAGGTCTCTCAGGTCCAGCTTCTTCTCCTCAAGTCCAGTCTCCGAACCTGAAAATCAGACCTGGTCCAAACCAGAGTTCCTCCTGGTCCAAATCAGTTCCTCCGTCCAGTCTGTTAGTGTAAAACGAGGTCAGACCGACCTGTAAGTCACCAACCAGGTGGGCGAAGGTACAAACCCATCCGGGCGGGAGGGTCCAAGGGCGGCGGAAACGTTCCTGTGCAGCATGCTGCAGGAGGTGCCTGGTCCATCAACCATTTTCCAACTCAGAGGGTGCCTGAGAATGTCTCAATCAAACGAATGTATTGACTCTTGATAAATACACCCATCCCCGGATTGTAAAACCTCTTCATAAGGCGGCTTGAAAAAACATCAACCTCAGGCTACATTATCGTGGAATGTGTGTGATAGTTCGCGGTGGAGGCTCGCTAGATCTTCTTGACGGTCTACTCAGTGCTCCATGTACTCAGTGGACAATGCACCCGACGAGCATTGGCTTCGACTGTTCTATTCTCACGGTGTTCTATTCTCACTGTTATTGTGCCTGAAAACCTGCTAACTATTCAAGCGCTAGACTGTAGACTCAAACAAATCAAAAAAGATCCATGCAAAAGTCTTACATGTACATTGTGTCATCATTCATCTTTCGCCAACCTTGTGCCTCTCTTGCACCAATCTTTCTGGACTCAAAGCGAGTGCAGATTGGAACATCTGCGACACGCAGACTCGATGACGAAATCCCAGACTTGGGCTTTGGGATGGCTCCATCTCCATCAGCTTTGTACCACAACCCCCACCAACTACGAAGTCCAGAAAGGCTAGGAATGATTTGCAGCAACCACTCGTTCTTCTTCGCACTGGAATCGGTTATATTCGATTCCTTAAATGACCTGGACACCCGAACTCCACAGGAAGCACCGGAGACAACCTTGCAGCTCATCCCTTCAAGCTACGATAAGCTACGTCTACAAGCTTCGGAAGCTGTTTGGTATACATACATATTATAAAATAATTAGCGACATAACATGGCATAACAACAGAAGAGCCCTGGGTGGTCTTGAATGGATGAAACATCCATGAAAAATCGTCCTCATGCCCCTGGCGGCAAAAACGGCGAGCCTCCGCATCCCAAAAATGTGGATGTGTCAAAGACCAGGCTAAGCGATACCTCAGCAACCAGACCCCAAAGTCATTCCAAAACCTCCGTTTGGTGGTATTCAGGTACTCTGCGGTTACCCGCAGTCCTGCTCACTCTTGGTGTCAAAGGACTACAGTATGTCGTGCAAAACACTCCAGTTCAAACAGCGACAAACCAAGAATTTCTGCCAGACCGAGGGCCCCGTGGTTTTTGGCAGACAAGAAGCATGTTGGCTGCTCCACTCTGCAGGGGTGCACCCCGGAAGTTTGGGAGCTGGCAAATCTTCTTCAGATTCCTGGGTGCACGAAACGTGCGCAAAAAGCCAAGGGGAAGTCATCGAAACAAGCCTTACAGTAAATCGATAAACTGCTAGGAGAGCACAGTGAGGCGAGCATATGCTAAGCAGTAGTAGTAACAGGTGCCACGCTAGTAGTAACAAGTGCCTTACTAGTAGTAACAAGAAGCTACTAGTAACATGTGCATCGCTTCTAGTAACAAGTGCCTTTACTAGTTACTCCTGAAGCTCAAAGGCGTGAGACATGTGTCTGCTCAGGTTCCAAAGTCTAGCGAGGCCTCTTCCGAAGTGGTTTCAATTGTCTCGGTTCGATCTGAGAACCTATGGTTGAGAGATGTTGAGACAGGTATAGTGGTATTGGTTTCTCTTTCAGTTGCGTATGACCCAGCATGGCTCTAGCTGGCCCTGCAACATGTGCACATATGGCCACCAGCCAGTAAATCTACAAGCCATCCTCTCCTCCCCTTCCCCTTCCAATTCTTTTCTGAAGCATCTTCCCCTCAAACCTCAAACACCAGCAAAACAAGCGATGGCCGGTGTCGAAGTCTGTGTGTGCCACGGCCACGTGTCTTCGCATGTTCGAAGGCGCTGTTGGGCATCTGCGCCGCGCAGGCTGCCAATGCGAAGCCTAACTTCCAGCCCGCCTCGCCGCGCTCCCCGCGAGTCCGCGGACTCGCGCGCACGAAACGGTGCGCAGTCCGCGGGTGGTCGGGGAATTCCTAACAACAAAGCAAGTCGAGTGGAGAGGAGAGTGAATGTCCGACAGCGACTCGGTCGTTGATCATACATGTTCTTTTCATTTCTGGTCCCCAACACGTCTCGTGTTTTTCGGATGCTCCAGGGTCGAGGAAGGGAAGTGGCCGATTGGGAGGACCAGCACGGGTTTATTGACGCAGTGCTGTCATATTTACCTCAAAAAGTGTCGGCCAATACATTTGTACCCTGTGCACTTAAAGTAAACCACTAGCAATGTTCTATATTCATATCGAGCTACGCAGTCAAAAAGCATTAGATATGCTGGAAGTTGTCAGTTATCACGCTTGATTCCCACCAAACGAATCGTCGATCTGTGAGACCAAGCGAACAATTTTGACTGCGAAGGATCTGTTTCAGCCCTGCAAGATGCTCTCAGTGGGCACTGTGCATTCCGAGGATTGACTGCTGACAATCAAGAGACCCCGGTCACAATCTCCAGGCACCCTTTGATCAAACTCCCGGCCATCCGAGCTTTGGAAGTCAAATCACCCAAGGAGTACCAGCAATTCACGTTCGCGTTGGGGATCTTGCGCCCTACGGCATCTCGAGGTTCATCGGTGCGGGAAGTCCGATCGAAGCCCAAAGCCTGCCTTCACGGGCGCAGGGATGTGCTTCACCAAGCTGCCGGCATTGAGTAAGGCCAGTGCCAGGGAGGCAACGCCGATCATCCTCAATGTGAGTTCGCCACACACTCGCACACACAAGTCATCCTCGGACCCCTATAACGGTCCCAAAAAGTCGCCATAAGCGTGGCAAATTCTTCCCTGACCAGAGAAATCGAGTTTGGACACGGGTCTCATGGACTTGATCAAGCACTCGTGCCATAGGAAACCTTTCTCAAGTTCCGGGGGGGGCGATTTTCAAGCACCCCCCCATCATGGGCTCCCCGCAGTCTCTAGAAAGCCTTCCGACCAGATTTTCGGACCCCCTCTTCATGCTTGGTGGTTTTTTCCGTGGGGGGGGTGGGTCATTCAGTATCGATCACCGTCTTCTCTGCAGAAGTGGAAAGAATCCATTTTGACTGTCTGGCTTCAGCAGTGATGCCCTGAAAAATCCTGACAAGCATAAACACATAAGAACACTCTTCACTGAATGGCTTGGCCCAAAAAAACAAAAAGTGGGACCCCTTTTCGTCTCGGAGAATCTTGATTTGATCGTCGTGTCCAATCCCAGGTCTTCGTGTCCAATGTCCCAGTGGATTTTCTCTCGTCACTGAAGCGCATATAGAAGAAGAAAAGACATAAACAAAAAACATGAATCAATCAAAATAGAGAAAACTGCAAATTTAAACGTTCCAATCAGCCAATCAGTGTTTTTCTTTTTTGCTGGCGTTATTAATTGAATATATATATATATATTGTACATTGTACTCATTTGGACTAAATTTATTGTGGTCCTTGCTTTTGATCACGCCCCCCCCTAACGACCCCGGAGAATTTCCATGTGTTTACCATTCGCCAAGTTGATGCTACGTTGGGTATGGGGTGGGGTGGGGATGGAGTGGGGTGGGGTGGGGTGTGTTAACGTTCGCTTGCACTTTCGAACCAAGTTGATGCTACCAAGCTGATACTACGTTGGGGATGGGGTGGGGTGGGGTGGGGTGGGGTGTGTTAACGTTCTCTTGCACTTTCGAACCAAGTTGATGCTACCAAGTTGATACTACGTTGGGGATGGGGTGGGGTGGGGTGGGGTCTGTTAACGTTCGCTTGCACTTGCAAACCAAGTTGATATTACCAGTTAAGCAAGGTCTGAACCCTGATAACCCATCATTTAAAGAATGAATGCACCCCGTTTTGTTCCACGCAGTTGAAGCAGATCTGGCCGTTTTACCACTAGCTCGGCTGCTCGGCTTTGGGTATTGCTGTGAAAGGGTCATCTCTGGCCAGCATTATGTTGATGGCTTAACCCAATGTATTGACCGGAAATGGTCATCCCTGAAGAAGTTTATCCCCGGAGAGTTGGCATCCAAACGATCCAATGGCGGGTTGAATGCACAGATCCAAGAATATATGTATAGCTTTGTGTGCCGCTGTAATACACCGTCAAAGCACCAACTGCAGAAGTCGGGTCAGATGGCACAGAAGGAGTGGCATGCCTGAAAAGCTGAAAGAGTGGAAGTGTGTTAATGTTAATCAAACAACAGAAAGCAGAAAATATGGAATTATCAATTCACCATGGAATTATGAAATTGAGAGGCGTGATATGGTGTAAAAACACATACAAAATGACACTGAGCTAAAACAGGCATCGCCATAAAGTGCCAGAGTGGTTGTTAAAAACGACTTGAAGCTGCATGTGAAAACGTGCAAATCGCGCGGGGCCCGTTGCAGCGGGCGTGACCTTGATTTTCCTCTTCTGTTCTTATGGTTTTTTCGTCTACTCTTTCATCCTCTTCTCTTTCATCCTTTTTCCCGGATTGTCTCTCTTCACCGAAGCGCATGGAGTAAGTGCCCAAGATCTGTGACCATGCGGCCTCGCCATAGGCATCCCGGTACTCGCCTGGCACGCTCGCGGCGACACCGTCACGCTCTCACTCGGCTGAAAAGACGGAGGGTAGGCCCTAAAGGTTGAGATACTCCCACAACATCTCCTTGAGCTGGTGGGTTCTGGGTTGAAACTTGAAGCTTTGGAGCAGCATCCTTCATTGAAATTGAAAAATCTCTTTGGGGAAGGTCACAAAGATGACAGCGTCTTTTGCCACCGGCTGCGTCAATCATGTGGGGGTGTCTTAGAATTGGGAGACCCCTCAGTTCGACTTCGGTGCAAAAACATACTACAGTAAATCCATTGGTTGCAATGAGCACATGGACCCCCCATATTATATATACCCTGGAAGTCACAGACCATTTTGAAAATGGTTGATCTGGTTTTGTACTGTAAAACCCTTAGTAAAAGAATGGTGGTTATTAAACCAATGGTGGTTCGACTTCCAGGGTTATATATATATATTTGTAATATACACACCTGGACCTTCAAGGGGTGTCCTGTCTGGAGGTCCCGTGGTAGTGTAGAGGCTTCCAGCCAGGTGACCCAGACATTGACATGAAGCTGCTGGCATATAATTACTATATAATCCAAACACCAATTACACTCTGACTGTCTAACTCACAAACAAAATGGATCCCTTGGAAGACAACTGCTATTTTTCCTTGCTGAACCCAGCCGGGAAGTGAACTCCACTTGCATGTGCTGAGTGAGTACTTGGCGGTGTCTTGGTTCAAAGAACCGCAAACTGCTCATCGATCTGCCCACATCCGTAGCTTCCGTAGCTGGTCGGGTCGGACGCCTCCTTTGAGATCGGCTGTGGCCATCAAGGCGGTGATAGAAGTCACCTGTCGCATCTTCAATCGGGGGCGGAAAATGTGTTGTTTTACTTTTGTTTATGTTTTATAATGCTTTATACTACGCTAGAAGGGGCGAAAAACGAAAGAGTGAGATCGAAGTGATTTCGAAGATTAGGGGATGGGTTTCTCAAGAACGGTTCTTCCCTGAAAGGGAGATATATCTCTATGACATATCTTCAGACCGTGTGCTGCGACTGGATTTCAGTTGAGTCAAGCAGATTAGCAAAATTTCGAGATGCGATCTACAGTACATATATTAGCACGCGAGCCGGTTTCCGTGTGGAAAAAAGGCGTGCTCCATGAATGTGTGTGTCACGAGACTTCCGACTGGTTGAGGCCAAAGTTTGCAGAGAATTGAGAGAACCTGGAAAAAAGATTTAAAAAATGGCAACTAGCAACTAGAAATCCTGGTATCATCTCCATCAGAATTTTCCAAGATCAACCAAGAAGGTCAAAGGTTCTCAAAGGTTGCAATCAGTTTACCCGATTCGAGTGTCAAGTGGCCTCGAAAACCATTGCCATCGGGATGAATAAAGGTTGAGAATCAACAATCTTTCAAACCCCCAGGACCAAGTCCACAAAAAGATCCATTCCAATCCATTCGCGCACAGGTCCAAGAAGGTTCAGCGCTTTGCATTGAATTCTTTAATAAGATCCCCACCAGGACCAAGTCCAGCTGTTCGTCTTAGTCTTCGCCTTCGCCCCGTTGCTCAAGTCTGAGGATCCGTGCCCCAATGTTCAGGCATGGGTTGCCGGTTAAAAAGGCGAAGGCCACCAAGGGCGGTCCCGAGGCGACGATACCTCGGAGACTTGGAGGAGTATCTTGGAGAGATTCTGATGAGATTCTCACCCGAGGGATACGTTTTCGTACCGAACCTCAGAAGGTACGACTGGACCCTCCAAACCTACATAACAGTGTCTCCAATCACCTTCTGAGAAGGTACTTGGATCCCTAGGGTCAACATCTCAGGAGGAGATCCAGACATTCAACCTCCAACTTCCTGGTTAAAACCGATTACTTTTTTTCCGCTCCCCTCTGACATGTCCGGCATCATTTCCGAAAAGCCTTTCCGTATCTACAAGGCTGTCAGCAGACCTCATTGGCTCATCCAGGGACTCCTTTTGAGCCACAGAAGTGTGCGATCACCACTGGTTTTGCGACATCGAAATGGACAGGCGACCCTATTATACAAATATGTGATTACATTATTCGGTATCAATTCTGTTACATGATTTGATCTTGTGATCACAATCATGACTAGCAATGATGGAACTTGACACCCTTTTGTCCTTGGACAGTGTCAAAAGCCGGTGATCCTACCACTGGCCCATAAAACGAGTCCTATCAGATCTGACTGGTCCGTTTCTCTAAAGCTGGAAAACCAAACAAAACAAACGCCTTTACCTGCTGGGGTCGTCAGCTGGGCAGAAAGACAGCACCCTGTGGCTGACTACAGGCGAAGATATCTTAAAATCCGTTTAACATGCATTCATCTGCATCAACAAAACAAGTCAAAACACAATAAAACTAACCATCTATACCTCATTTTACATACATCATTATACCCGTGTTCATTTCCCTCCTCTTCCCTCCAATCGTCACCCAGACCCACGACCCCGGCGCTCTCGTCTTCCCCAAACCCCCACGTGTTCTCGACACCGGTTCGCCTCGAAAGCCCGAGAGCTGCGCCAGCTCGGCGTAGGCGATGTACTGTGGCAAGGAGGTCACGGCCACCGTGACGCCTGGACCGTAGGGCGACGAAGGAGGCTGAAGAGGTGACAAGTGGAGACCTCCGTGGTTTGATTTCACAGAAGCTGAGAGTCTGGAGGTTGGATTCCAATGGGTTGAGATGTTGGAAGAGAGGGAAAAGGATTGGGTCCCTGTCGACAGCCTGTTGGAGGCGCCTGGATAAGGTACATGTCATAATCTGCCATACGACCCAAGACCCCGCACCGCACCGCAAGTCTCAGCCCCGGGCCAGCCACCACATCGCCCATGGACCAGGCTTTCACATCGCTGATGTAGCGTGGCATCGCTGATGTGCAGTTCTTCCGGGAAAGGCGGAGGATTTGATGCGCTTAAGGTGGCACCAAATCCGACCAAGACGAGTCTTCAAATCTAGCTGAGCTGAAGCTTCTTTGAGCTGCAAGCTGAGCCAAAAACGATGGACCCAGGGTCAGCGCCCTAATCCACAGATCTTTGGGTCTGGCGGAAGTTCTTCAGTGAACATGCACCGTGTTCTGAATTCCACCCAAAAAAAACATCTAAGTATGTCTTTAGATGTCGGCATGGAAGACTGTCAACTTGCAGCTTAACCGATCCGTCCACATGGCACGAACCGTCGAAGACCGACAAGGGACAAAGAGTCGAAAGAGGGCGATTCCTTCGCGACTCGCGGAGTCCAACTTCAGCCAAAAGTTCTTCAAAGAAATTCACCTGGTTTTGCATCACCCTGATTCAAATCATACACAGAAGCTCGGTCTGAGCGACAAATACATCGATATATCCTATACATCCTATATACAATCGCAATAAACCTTGACCAAAGCGATGCGGTTCGCTTCATCCCGAAAGCTTCCCAACCGGTTTTCCGATCGCAGCCCGGTCCTGGTACTCCGACCTCACCTTTGCACCTGGGACGAACAAAGGGACCGAAGCCGAAGCCGAAGCACCCAGACTTGGTCGAAAAGATCACTTGGGATGATGTCTCTCCAAGAAGGCCAAAATGAACGATTCTTCAGAATCCACAACAAATGATCCCCAACATCTCCCAACATGTTATCAGTAAGCTCTTGCTAGGAGAACCAAATGCTGACCTTTTCTGTGGCAATCTCCCAAGACATCGATGGGCACAAAACACCTCGGGTGAAGGTGTGGTTGAACGTGCCCAGTCCAACAACCCTTTTCGTACGTCCTGTCGTCTCCACCATTGTTCTCGAGTCCCAGGTGGTGGAAACGTGTGGAAACATCCGCCCGTTGGGGGGGGAGAGGAGAGGGAAGCCTTCTTTGCCCTTACATCCAAAGCTCGGAAGGTAGCAGATTTAGAACTCCCTGGAAGAATTCATGGTGGAAGTGGATGGCATGGCCCCGAGTTCGGACTACCATTTTGCGAAGACCAAACAGTTTTTTCACTTCCATGTGTGCTTTCCAGGAGTGTTTTTGTTGTTGTGCTTCCGCTTCGCATGGGGCTCTGTTCACTGGTCTGCCAATCAGTGCTTCATGTCCTGGTATGTAAGAGTCATGTCATGTCCAAAAAAGGGGATGCCTGTTGACGTCCTTCGTATTTGGACTCCTGAAGGGACTCCTTTGGTCCTGATCCAAAGGGCAAACTGGGAGCGGTCTCCCACTCCCACCAAAAACAGACGACATCTCACTCTATCCTCTATCCTCTATCCCATCTCTCAAGCATCACAAACATCAACCAAGCTATGGCTCCCTTTCAGACCTCTTTGGTGCTTCTTCCTACCCCCTTCGCACACCGGACAGCGAAGCTTTCCGTGAAAAGGCACGTTCTCCGTTCAGCAGCTCCTGCGGCGGGGGAACAGGGAATTCAGCCGCTCGAGCGCAAAACGTGCGAGCAGCATGAACATGATGCCCAGCCGCAATGGACCAGCTAAGTTGAATGGAATGCCACAGCCAGAATCAGCCGTCACATCTCGCCGACGTCGTCGAGCGCAGAGGCTCCTCAAGGCGCTTCTTCTCGGCATCCAAGCGTTGCGATTCGAGCGCATCCTGAAGATGAGCTGCAAAAGGGAACGAAATTGGACGGACTTGTTCTATAAGGCAAAAGGGACATACACCAAATATAGATGAGTGATTCGAAGCGACGTTCGATCAGGGACCTTTTGGATGAGTTTGTGGCTGGTCCTCTCAGATCCATCCCTAATTCACCCTAAGCTAGTAGCTTTCACCATCTCGCATCTCTCATTCTACGTATCCATAATACATTATAGTCATGTAATTTACGTCATGTAATTAATGTCATGTATTTATATATTTAAACCATGGCACCTTGAAAAAACGTGTTGAGCTGATCCTTCTGATTGTCTTTGATTCTCTCTAACAAAAGGACTGCTACACTCTCTCCAACATGGAAGCAGGCCTTCCTTCAGGCCATGCCGTCCACGAAACCATCGTGGACGAGGAAATACGCCCGAAAACCGCCATCGACCGGTGCCTTTTTCCAGCTCACCCAGCAGGTGGAGAGAACCTCAGTCGTTTCGCGCGGAGATCGACTGGCGGAAGGACGGCTGCTCTGCGGAGAGGTTTAAGACGGTCAGTGCTGAACTCCCAGCCCAACTCACCCTGTTCTCTTCAATCTAGACCTCGCTGCTGGATCAACTGCCACGGCTATATTATACTATATCTAGGGTGGGACTTCGGTTTGGCTCAGCCAGCTCAGCAGCAAACAGAAGATTCAAGTTCTGTGTTCCCACTCAATTGAACACGGACTTGGGCTCATGATCCGTGGATCCGTTCCCTTTCTTCACGTTCCGAAGAAAGGTTGGGCCGTTTGGGTGTTCCGCACGCCACGTGTCTTTCCCAGCAAGAACTTCTTCACACAAATGTCCACCGAGTTCATCTTGGCCTCGCGAAGTCACGTTGAGTTGGAAACAGGTTGCGAAGTTCGCTTGCTTGCGAGATGAAAACATCAGGGGTCGGGTTTGAAGGGGAAACCCATTTTGGTCGAGTTGGCTTTGGGGGAGAAGTAGTTCATTCTAGCACCAGCAGCGGGCAAGATAGTCTGCTTCGTTTACATCAACCGGGCTGATGGAAAGTAGTCTGCCATGCCGCTGGTGCAATCAAAGCAGGCCAGGCAACCGCTACTCGCAGCCAACACCGACCACACTGCGCTTTTCCTGAATGTCAAGGTGTTCTAGCAAACCCATCGCTCCTATTTCCCTCTCATCCGAACCGCCGTTTCAGAGCTGCCTTCTTGTCGCGGCGCTCCTTCCGGTTCTCTTTCAAGCCCTGAACGTCCACCGGTCGAGTGTCCCGTGTGTCCGGTGTGTCGTCCGCTGGGACGGTGAGAGGAGCCTGTCCAGACGGTCCGGTCCGTCCTTCCATGTCGGTCCGTGGTCTCAGGGGGGGTATCGCGTGACCCATTTGACCCTTTCACGCCGGGGGTATGTCCCCTGTAAACAGGACCCTGTCCTATGCCCTATGCCCTATGGATGTCGAGAGCACCCGAAGACATACCCAACCCTTAAGCCTAGAACGGTCGGATCACTCGACCGGCCCTGCGAGGCTCTTGGGCCTCTCCTTAAACCACCTCGCTTCTTCGGTAGGTTCTTTGTGGATAGTACTCTACACGTGACAGTGACAAGACTCGTCTTGTCTAGTCCTTTCTTGAGCCAAAGTTGAATTGAAGTATAAGGTATAACTATAACAACCTAGGGATGGGTAGTGCCGGGTAGGGTATTGTATTGGACACCCATTGGATGATCCTATAACAATGCATGAATCATTCCACGAAAAGTTAGAGACCGCAAGGAAAAAACTCCAAGCAGCCAACAATCTGGCCATCATGGCTGGCCCAACAAATCTGGCCTAATCTGGAAGACCCTCCTGTTGTTTTCGTCTTTTTTCATGCAAGGAATGCAAGGAGATCAAGAGAGGAAATCAAGAGTAAGCCCCACCAAATTGAGCAAGGCGACACGTGCACGTTCTGGACAGTCAGGTCACCCTGATTGTCTGCATGTGGTCCAAATCATTCAAACACCTAGACTCTTGACTCTAGAGCTTGCGTTTTGGACCTCGCTTTGAGACCTTGCCAGGCTAGTACTTGAACATCTGGATGCGCCGCGCATGGGCCAAGATGGGTTCACTAGATTGCCATAGAACAAAGGACTCAGGAAGTGCGTCTCCGTAGCCATTGGGGGCGGACGCTACGAACGGGGCTCCTATTGGTCCGGTCGGTCCGGCCGACCCCTCGGCGCAAGCTCCCGCGAGCCGAGGCGAGGCTTCGGCCGGGATTTGCGCGGGGGACGGATGGGACACCAATTGAGACCTGAGACCCGAGACAGAGGGTACGTGTATCAATTATGTTTTACTTTAATATATAGATTATATAGTCGTTATTTATATATATATATATATATGTATGTATGTATAGAGCCCATGTGAATCCAGTTGATCTCTGTTTTGACAGGAACAGGCATGAAAAGACCCTGTTTTTTGGGTGGTTGGCTCTAGTTCTACAAGGGTGTTTTCTTTGGGTGCTCATGGTACGGAAGTTGCCTTGAAGCGCCTGACTCTTCTCCCGTTCTTCGACCCCTCCCTCTCAGGGCCGCGGACGCGGAAGCACATCTCCACCATTCTCAGTGTCGGCTCGTGGAACGGGTTCGGTGCGTTCGGTGTCCGGATGGGGCCACACTACTTGGCGAACAGACAACCGTCCCATGCTCCACTTGCGGTGTCACGGGTCAACAGCCATGTCCGATGCTCCGATGCTAGACAGAAGAAGCCTGCGGTCTGTGGCAAATCTAGGAGCGGGCATGGTAGGTACCATGGCTTTTGTGGGGTGAGTGGAGTTTGGAGGTGTTTTTCGCCGCTATATAACACTTCTGAAGCTTCAACCATGGCACTGCTCGTGGGTTGTGAAGCCTGTTTGGGAGAGGCGGGGCCTGAGCTGTGTAGATGGCACCCCGAACGGCGGCTGTTGTGATGAGTCTGCCTCTAAACCGTTTTGCTGACAAGCTGACAAGAAAAGCATATATCTCAACCTACTGCCACTCCACCGTATTGCCACAAGTATAGTGAATTGCAAACAATGGATGAAGAAAAGATCAGAACCAAATCTAGGAACTTCAAAATACAATATCGCCAGAACAAGCTATGCGAAAAAGAAACCGTTAACGTCTTGGCCACTAAACGGCGTCACCAGAGCCCATGAAGAACTTTCATGGCGAGGTAAGAAGCTGAAGGTGTCATGAAAAAGCCATGAAATTAAAGTTGGGTCACTCCATGAAGGGGTTCCAACTTTTGCAAATTGAAAAGCTTGGACCCTGGAAGAGCCATCACTCGATTCAGGCCATTGATGGAAACAATTGTGGCTCACCGTCAGGGTCACCGTGAGGGCGATATCCAGAAGACCTGGCATACCAGTCCGGACTCCTATCATACAACTCGATCTCCGAGATCTCGGTTCTTCATCCTCCC